TAGGAGGAAGGTTGGTACTTACGGTGCCCGGCTCTCGGTCTGCTCCCGCAGTAACCAAGAAATGGACAGACATGCCCGTTCAGACACAGAGGCAAGAACAGAAATAAAAAAGGGGGGAAAAAAATTAGAACACAAGCCGCAAACAGTTTTAAAATGGCTTTTATTTATATAAATCATTGCACATTCCTAATACAGTGATTTCCTGAAAATTACAGTATTTTGTAAACATGATTTACAGTTTAACCATACACAAAGCCTAGTTTTATTTCATGACAGAATAAATTATTTTCTTTTCAAAAATTAGTCAAGTGCAATTTTGCCCAATATTTTACTGAGTACTAGAATTATGTCTATGAAACTAAAGTAACAGATGCAATTATCTAAATCTTTTGTTTGAACACATTCACTTCAAAATTTAACTTCTTGTTCCCCCTACCTTCCCACCCACCCTTTAACAACATTACTTTCTTTGAAAAAATTACCCATTACGCAGTTAAACAGTTTTCCACAATATGGTGCAGGCCACTGCTATTACAACTAAGTATTTACCAGGATGTCAAAATGCCCTGCAAAGTATAGAGCAAGTGACACCTAGTGATCCCCTTTTAAAACACTGAAAAATTCCAAGCTGAATTTTGCTTCAGTGGTATATATGCAGACATTTTTAAGTTTGTCAACAGTTTTTTTCTCATTCTATATAACTTGAATTCTTTAGAGATGCACATAGTTTGCAGCAATGTGCAAATCTGACAAAGTCCTAATCAGGCCTGCCATGCCTCTCACCTCTGTGGTGGTCTGCATCGTGATGCTTCTTGTCATCTTTTATTGCCAAGTGAGACTGCCCACCCAAAGCACTAGAAAGGGCAAGAAGGCCAGCACTGCTTCCAAGTGGAGGGATTCCTGGAGGCTGAAGTCCTGATGGATGTGGCGTTAGAGGCACTGGAGGTCCATGGCCATGGGAGAGATGTTGAGCCTGCAACTGCTGCTGCTGTTCCCAGCGGTATCATCATCCCCAGAAGAACAACGTACAGAACATAGTTTAGAAGGACAAGGGAGAAGTTTGGTTAATTACTGAGAATCAGTAGTGGATTTTGTCATTTATTTGTTTGTTCTCAATCTAGCCTCTCCCCTCTGTCCCACCACACTATATATACACTGCATTATATCATGCTGTCTGTGGACAAATCTGCTCATGTCCCATTACCCAAAAAAGGCTAGCTGGATACTTATTTTGCAGCCTGAGGAATAAGTTCAACTACTGTAGGTTGTTTTGGGCAGCTGCCTGCCACAGCATCACTGGCGACAAAGAGCAGCAGCAGAAGGCCTGAATACCTTTCCCTTTCTATACAAAGGCGTATCACTGCTCTGGAAGAAAAAAAAAAAAGAAGTTTCAGTGGCAAGATTGATTTAAACTCATATCCCTCTCTTCCCCCAGTTTGGAAGCAGCAAGTACGTCTCTATTTTGAACACTAAAAAATTTAAAATATACTGCTCATCTTCATATTTAGTGAAGTTAAATTTGCATTTTATTCTAATCAAGGTTTTTTGGAGGAAGGGGGGGAATTATTCATGAACTAGCATTGTGCTAAGGAAGCAACTTGGAGCTTAAAATCCTGGTATTCCAGATAGCATCCAGGAGGTCATGGAATTCTCAACAAGAAACATGGTATTAATGAATTAAAATACCTCCATCTGTTTCAAAAGCAGCTTGCAAGATCAGTATAATAATGAATGGACATACAACCCTGTAACCAATCTGGCAAAATAACCTGTAAGCAATTTTAGAAACAGGAGTTCTTATAACATAATGTATTCCCTAGAGTTTAAATATTAGGATATATTCTGTTTGAAAATGTCATGGTTTTATTAACATTTTCCAAGTTCAGCTGTACTTTTAATTTGTCCAAAACTGTCAGCACAGTTTTATTTAGAAAATGAAACTTCAAAACCATCTTTAGTTTAGTCATAGCTCCCCTTTAGTCTGCTACAGGTAAATGGATTTTCTGCCTCTTTCCTGCTTCCTTGTGTCAGGGCATATGAACAGAAGACAGAACAAACCTCTCCACCCTGGCCACTCTCCACTAACCCTTTGCTGAAGGCAGATACCAGGAAAAAGCTGGAGTACCACCCAATTTATGGGATCAAAAAGAAGACAGATAAGCAAATGTCTGACCAGGAGGAACTCAGCTATACATCAGACTTTAACCAGGTGAATGCTAGTGGTCCTGCAAGAGCAGGCTGAATTGTTACAGTGCTGCTGATAGCTACTGAAATCACACCTAGACTACAGCTCACAATGTTTCACAAGTTACTCCAAAGAAACTCAAAATAATGCAAAAAAAATGTCTATCTGCTTCCACAGGCCCCAAGACTCTTCAAGACAAACTGTCAGAAATAACATACCTGCATAACATCTACTGGCATTAGAATAAATTTAGTTATTACTATTTAGGTAACTACTGCACTCATACACTTTTACTTCTCATAATCCCATTCCAAGATATGTCTTGAACTGTTTATAAAATTATGCAGACACAAGGGCTGACCCTCCAGAACTCTGGACTGGACCCTGCTAATCTTTCACTTTTTCGGCTGTCTCAACTGCAGTGCAGCCATCATTTACTTATTTTTGATATACAAGAAAAATCTTAAAATTCACCACCATCCATTTAGTCACTTCGATAAACCCACATTATTTACCAAATGTTTCTCACACCACGTATCAGGAATTAATTTTCAAGTGCTGCATAAAAAAGCCTCACTAATCTTCACTGCAATATGCACACCTGACTGCCACCCTTGCCAGCTTTTCAGTATGTTTAATAAACAAGGTAAGAAAGAGTTCATTTTTTTCTATTTTAATGTGTTTACAACAACCCAAAAAGTAATATTTCAAAGGAAGGATTAAGAATTATTTCTTCATTTACTATTTTAAGTAGTTAAGAGAGTAGACCACTTTCTACACTATCAAGCAACTATTACTTGTAAAGCTTTGCTTAACTGCACAAGTATCAGTAAAGAGCCCTGTAAAGCCTGACAGGACTACAGGAATTTAGGGCATTTTGTTTTGCTTTTTTTTAATCCAGCCTCTAAAGAACAAGAAGACGACTCTTTTCTAACCTGACTTTATCAAGGCTTTGGTAGTTTCTAGCACACTCCTCAAACCAAGAGATAACCTGATGTTTTGGTGGGCTCTCGCAGAGATGGTATCTTAGTCATCCCTTTCCTCATTGACCTCTTCAGCCATGTCAGTCATCTGCACCTTAGCGATGCCACAGCATGAATCAGCAGTACTGTGCAGCACTGAAGGCACTGGCCTTACTTGTGTCCAGCTGTACTATCAGCCTGGATTACATAGTTGGGATGTACAATTGCCTAAGAATAAGAAGTGGTTTATTCCTTCCAAATTGGTTTCATGGAGAAAAGCCTCCTTCCTTCTCCGACACTAAGTACGCTCAAAATAGCTTCTTTTGCAGTGTGAGCATGGGACAGTCAAAACAGGGAAATCAAGTTAAATGTTTCCATTCTTGTCCCTACCCTTCAGGAAGCATATGAAGATTCCCATTATTCATGCCTCTTTTGCTTGGTTTAATTAGCAAACAAGTTAATCTGCTTGATTTCAGGAAGCACAGGTTAACGTCTTAAGAAATCAAACTGTTAGAGACACATTACCTACCATTTCCCTGGCTCTGCTTTGTAGCCTACACAGCATGTATTTTGAAAGTCCAAGAAATGAGGAACAGATTAATCCCCTATACGAGGTTCTGAAGCTGAAAGGACGTAACAAGGAGGGCTAAGTTCTGTGTTCTCTGATGGTACTGCATACAACAGTGGGAAGCAATGTTCAGTGTAAGGTGTAGAACAGAGTATGAGAAATACAAGTAAGTGCATTGCAAAGTTGTTCTGCATAACATCATCATAGCTCCAAAATTATTACTTAGGGACATGGTACACAAAGATCCTTAAATATGGCACTACATTAAACTTACTTTAAACCGAAAACTTGATCAGTCTTTTAAGCCATGAAAGCTATATTATGATTTCATGTTTATTATCTGAGGCTCATTGCTGTTTAATACTGAAATATTTTGATTTATTGCTTATATATTACCTAGTCATAATAGGCATGAAGTTGTCCCTAATGCATAAAGATGATCCTCTCCAAAAGTTCATACTCTTTTTATTTAAAAAACTGAAACTGTTAAAAGTATATTGTATTCTCTTTCTAGAAAGGGAAAGGAAATATGTGCTGAACACAAAAAAAAGAAACTAAAGATGAGGGAGATGGATAACAGCAATGCTCACCAGATGTATTTAGCAACTAAACATGTGCCATAGTAGATCCTAGAAACAATTATGTTATGCATATAATCACTTTCCCATCACTTCAAAGACACTAATGCCTGCTCTGTAACCTTTTAAGAGCTTAGCAGAAGTGAGATATAAAATGGAATAAGTTGGCAGCAGTATCATGGTCTACTAAGCATGTTCATTAGCAGTTAATTAAAAACTAGACATCTGCCATAAGAAATGTGCTCAAAGAAGGATGAGTAACAGGTCTGTCTTACTACCAATTATTATCATTACTTGCCGAGCAAGGGCCGTGTCCACTTTCAGAGGGAAGTGAGAAGGTAGAGAAGAGTGCAATGATGCATACTTAAGTGACTGCACTGAGATAATTAGCCACAGCAGTGATTTTAAAAGCATCAGTGGCTCACCCACCATTTTTCTGCAAAACCAGTTCTTCACATTTGCAATGGTAGAAAAGGAATCACAAACTCATATAACTGTACTGTCTAGATGTAGGTTTTATTGTCTCAGATTTTTTTCCCAGTATCCCCATAACCAAACATAAAGACACAAAAATCAACATAGGAAAAACACAGCATTTGCTTCTCTGAGCAAGAATCACCTAATACTCTAGGGAAAGTCCCGTTACAAAGAGATTTTTAATCAGGACTTAAGATTTGGAATTACATTTTCAATCTCTGCCAAAGACTTCCAGGGACAGAGTTAGTATGCCTTTGTGAAACAGAGATCCTATAATTAAACAATGACAGTCTCCTTTAGGGTCCTTGCTCATCAATATAGAGCACAAGCTCCTACCATCCCACTCACTATCTTAAAGTAGCTCTGTTGAGGTCACAAACACCTGATTTTACTTAAACAGTTAGAGCATACTTCTCTTCTTAAACAGATATGTGATGTACTATTCAGTGTCTGTTGAAAAGCACTGAATTAAAAATTCTGATGTGATTAGAAATGAAGAGCAGAAAAAGATTATACCTAGTGCCAACCTACAATAGCTGTCCTCTTTTGTGTCCTTCTAAATAAACACCTCAGAGCAGAAAAAAATTTCAAAAATGTTAGCAGCACTAGCAACAGTCATTCTGTCAACAGATGCCCCCAAGCTCCACAGAGGTACTCTGAAAAAAATATCTGGCAAGTACAGAAGTAATTTAGAAACCTAAAATGTAAAGGACACTATTTCATGTCAACCTCTGTAAAACTGAAGAAATGTTATTTTGTTAAACTCAAGCAGGCAGAAAGACATGAGAGACAAACATATATTACTGTGTTCAATTACAGTGCCATATTCTCTTCCTTCTCAATGGGAAATCTTTGGGTTTTTTCATTTGCTTGCTTAAGTAGCAGAAAGAAGTGAGAGTCTGCATCAAATGTCTATGGCCAAAGCACATAAGAGGACCGCTGTCTGAGCACATACAGGTAGGTAGGCAAGAAATAAATTTTCCCCCATGGTTAGGATATATTCTTAAAACCAATGTTGCAAATGCAACCTGCTGGAAAAGGAAGCAACTCAAGACTATGCTCCTGTTGCATCCAGTTGTCCTGATTCAAGCCAGAACAGGGTTTACCTTTGTATCAACCAGGAGGGGCATGCTAGGACCCTGGGGTTATTTTATGCCACCTTAGGGGATGGAGACAGGGCTGGGCACCCTTTTTTCTGGTTCAGCTGGTGCACGGTGT